AAAAAAAAAAAACAAAACCAAGAGAAAACAAATATCTTAAGTCTGACATGGTCCTCACATATGTATACTGACAATCCATATAAAATAGTGCTTCTATACAAGAAAAAAATAAAAAATATACTCTTGTTTAAATAAAGAAAGAAATGCTCGATGCCACAAGAAAAATAGATTGCCTTCATCGGAATCAAAGTGTTAAATTACCTATTATCGTAATCTGAACTAGGTACTGACTACATTTGAGTATTGTCCAGTGGAGCCGAACCAACACGCTGCCAAGCATTCCTATCCTCAAGATAATCAATCACCCTGTAGTACGCTTGTTTACATAATTCGCGCTTAATATATGTTTTAAATTTACTTTCATTTAGATCTAGTATGCTATTTGGTATTTTATTATAGCAATTAATACCTAACCCCATAAAGGATTTCTGTACCTTGGACAGTCTGAATTGCAGTACAGCTAACTTATTCTTGCCTCTAGTATTAAGATTGTGTCTATCGCTTCTTTTTTCGAACAATTGCCTATTCTTTCTTACATACATTATATTTTCATATATGTATTGACAGGGCACCGTTAAGATGTTTATCGTTTTAAACAATTCTCTTAGCGATTCGCAACGGCGTAAGTTATATATTGCTCGGATAGCCCGCTTTTGAAGAATAAAAATTGATTCTATTTCTGCAGCTCGATCCCACAACAAAATGCCGTACGACATAATGCTGTGAAAGTAACTAAAATAGACAAGCCGTGCCGTATCTACGTCCGTGAGCTGTCTAATCTGTCTAACTGCAAAAGCAGCTGAGCTTAATATCCCCGAAAGCGCCTTTCAAATTAAAAATATTTTATTTTAAATACGTTTTCAGGTCTACCAAGTCAAAAGAAACGGCAGAAGTGTCATCAAATAATGTAAAAGAAACAAAAGCTCAACGCGATACTGAAACAGTCAGGGAAAATGTTAAACCATCACCAAGGAAGACTCGTGGTAGAGGGAAAGCAGCCTCTTCTAAAGCTAAACCTAAGGCAAGTCCCGCTAGAAAGAAAGCAGCCACTACAGTTGACAAACCTCGTCCTGGTTCGGCCAAAGAGAATTCACCTACAGTTAGTCCTATAAGAAAAACTAGACAAACTAGAGCCAAACAAGCCAGTCCAGTCAAAACATTACTCTCTCCTGAGCCAACGACACGTTCGCGTAAAAAAGATGTTTCGACCAAAGAGACTAACACAAAGCCACGTGCTCCGAGGTTAACTGTTGCAAAAAAATCATTAATTAAAAGCCCACCGGCGAGCAAGAGGGCGTCGAGAAAACGAAAAGAACCAGAATCTTCCTCAACACCTAAGCCTAGTCCTAAGAAAACTCGAGCTGCCCGCAACAACGCTTCTATTAAAGATGTTAAGCCAAAGACACCAAAGAGTACAAGGGCTAAAGTTCAAAAGGCATCTGTGGTAGTTAGCAAACCATCGCCAGCTTTGAAACCACAACCAGTACTTAGTGAGCAAGATACTACAAGGAGGTCGCGGAGAACTGGGACAGTCCAGCCTCCACTACAACCTCATAAGAAATCTCAAGCATCTAGTAAAACGCGAGTTGAAACAACACCAAATAAACCCACACGAAGAAATACTACGAACAAAACAAAAGACAAGAATGTGGTTGACAAACCTGATGTTAAAACTAAGACCAGTGAACCAACGCCTCGGAAGACTAGGAATAACAAACAAGAAAAGTCTAACGAACAACCTAAAACTGTGAGAGGTCGTGGCAAGAAAGTGTTATCGCAAGAGAGTGAACAATCTGAAACTAAGAGCCGAGGGCGACGGACCACTAAACCCGAGCCCGAGCCAGTCGTACAGGAAGTTAAAACTCGCAAACGAAAGACAACAGCACCAGACAACGACATTCCGCCTAAAGTAAGGAAATCTAAAGCAAGTGACATCGACACTGGAAGGTCGCGGAAGAAGACCGCAACGTCTCCAGCAAGTACTGAGAAGGCGGCCGGCACTGCTCGGGGTAGGAAGACCGCAGCGCCACCCGCGGCGCCGGGGCTCAGCACGCGCCGCAGAAAGGTACAGTTTACACATTTATCATTTATTTATTTTCCCTTGTAATACTTTACTTTTTGATATAATATTTTATGTAGTAAGATGCTTAACTCTTATTTATAGGCGAATCAGGAGAACATTCCAGATAATCAGATAACTGGAAAACGTAAGAGACCGACAGCCGCGGAGTCTTTGCCTTCAGAAGGTGAGTAATGTTATTTATTTATTTATTTATTTAAAGCTTCATGTACAAAATGTACACAAGGTGGACTTAATGCCGCAGGCATTCTCTCCCAGTCTGACCTTTGGGTGATGCAGAGAAGAGTTAAGGGTGTGAGCAAGAAGCAAGCAATTATTTAATAGAGCAAATAAAATAGATACACTTACATATTTCAGAGATAAACATAAATACTTAAACATAATTATAATATATATACCTACACACGAGTACAACACAATACACATGAATGCATTCATACACATATTATACATATATACTTACATACATACATACATACATACATACATACATACATAAATATAGACTGTGAGTAATTAGCGTGATGATTCAGCCACCCTCTCCAAGAGAAGTTCACGCACTTTCTGCTTAAATAATAGACGAGTCGACACCATCCTGACATCCGGGGGGAGCGCATTCCACAGCAAAATTGCCTGTACGAAAAAGGAAGAATGAAAGAAGTCAGTGCGATGAGTGGGACATTGAAGACATTATGTAAAGTAATTAATTAACTCGTCGAGTACCGGTTTAGTAGACACAATTATAGAACAGTAGGTTGCGGTCACCGGTGACCGCTTGGTGTTTGACAGTTTAATATCACATTCTGTTTGATGGAAATAGTTTAAATATGAAGACGAAGTTAGTAACATGGAACTGTTTATTGCTAGGCAAACCTGCAGGCCGCAGCCGTCGGAGATAGCGCGCGACGCGACGGGGCAGTCACTCAAGTACAAATAGTTAACATGGAAACGGTAACAACATATTTATTCAGTAAAATAATAAATTGTTCATGAGTTCCTTGTTCGAGATACACATACTAACAACGAGTTATTTGTTGCAGGTGCATGGACGCACCATACGATATATTTTGTGAAGATTTTTTATGAAAAGTTTCGAATGTAAAAAATATTTTTGTGACAAATTATTATTGTGTGCTAGTTAATTTCATCAGCTGTGTGGCACTATGTTAATTCTAAATATCAAGTAAAGTACATGTACGGATGTCGTTCGGCACTCTGATTGGCCGGCGCCAATAAACCAACCAATCAGTGCGCCGAATGCGTACTCGTTACGATTACTTTAAACGTAAAACAAACTCGTACTAAGGCCTCTGTACTGTGCACGTTACAGCGTGCTATATTGTCTATAACATTGCCTCAAACATATATTATGTATGTAATAATCGTAATCTGGTTATTTATGTGTATTCAAGTTGCTGTGAACATTTTGGATAGATCGACATTACAAATTATAAATATTTTTATTAATTTACATAGATATTACTAAGAATCAACATATAATGCTGATAGTGATCATGAATAAGCCAATCTAGATCCGTTGCCATGATCTAGCGACCGAACGATTTAGGTTTGTAGAGATATTGATATTGAAATTAAGTTTGCTGTAGTTTAATTTGTACTACGTTGGAGTGTTTATGGAATTGATTACGGGCCCTTTTCCTGGTTCGCACACTTCGGCGGCTCGTTGTAGAGACGTGAACGTCATCGAAAAAAAGTCGACCCCAGCTTGCACAAACTTCGTGCGGATGATAGATTTTTATGTGCGGAGATTATGTGTGAATGTGGTGATAGTCTGGGTAATATCTGCGGACACAGCCACCAGTTTGTACGACAGGAACGAGCTCTACTATTAGTTAGTACATAGTATTGTTGTAGTGCTGAACCCGTGGTATTCCATGTTCAGCACAATAATGTTCAAATAAGCACAAATGCCTCCAACGAATCATGTCTACGATTGATTTCTTTTTATCAATTATTTGAGAACTTTGTATAATGAGGTTTGTTGTGTGGAAATATTAATTTTAATATAGTTTCTTAATGTATGTGTTGTGTTCATTTATCGCAGGATGACACTTTGAATAAAACTTAAAATGTTCATGTTCGGATGCCTCTTGTGCTAAATTAATACAATTTAGGATTTTAGCTATTGATTTATTTCATATTTCTCTTAATTGGCTAAGATTTTATTTTTATCTTACTTCGGCTTTACGTTGGCTAGGTGGGGAGTGGGTCTTGATGAGTAAGATAAAACAATGTTTTGGGTATAAGATTTATTTATTATAACAATTAATATAAATCAGTAATTCCTAGTTCATCTATATTTTACAGAAATATACAGCTTTATTGATGTCGACAAGCTGGTTATCCGTCAACGCGTTTAGAGAGTAATTACTTTACGGTATTTTGTCGTTTTATTTGCTGAACTTTATAAGTAACAAATTAGACATAATACATATTGTGACACCCAGTTCCCACTTAGCTATTTTATTCTTTATTTTCGAAGCGCTAAATAGATTTGAAGACTTAAAAATTCACTAAAACATGGTAATAATGTAACAAAGTAATATACCGGGAGCAAAGTAATTTATATTGTAAACGATATTATATAATTTAATAATGCACTCGGGACTTTCGAGAATAGGGATCGATATTTTATTTAAATATTGTTACATCGAATAATAAATAAATAAAGGAATGAATTACAAGGAGTCTGTTTTATTGGGCGCCTTGAACTTGACGGGGTTGGAGACGCGGAATATGTTGGGCGTGAGCGCGGCGAGCGGAGCGAACAGGGCGGGCGCGATGTTGGCGGGCAGCGCCGCCGTGAGCGTGCGCAGGTCGGCGCCGCCCCAGCCCGCCGCCTCCAGCATGAACCCCTTCACGCACTTCAGCACCAGCTCCGCGCGCCGCACGCACCATGCCGCCGTCATCTCCTGCAGACACTTGCTCGCAATCATTCATTTCCCATTCAAAATAAAATATCGTAATGCCACTGTACTATGTAACACCCAATTTGTCTGTAATACGTAATACGTAATATTTTAAGTGTGGGAGAGCCATGCTTCGGCACGAATGGGCCGGCTCGACCGGAGTGATACCACGGCCTCACAGAAAACCGACGTGAAACAACGCTTGCGTTGTGTTTCGTCGTGTGAGTGAGGTTACCGGAGGCCCAATTACCTTCCCCTTCCTCAATCTCCCCAATCCCTGAATCCCCAACGAACCTCAAACTCTTAATCCCCAAAAAGCCGGTGACGCACTTGTAATGCCTCTGGTGTTCCAGGTGTCCATGGGCGACGCCGATTGCTTGCCATCAGGTGATCCGTCTGCTCGTTTACCGGCTTATGCCATAAAAAAAAAAAATACGGGGTGAGCCTATGACCATATACCGGGTACACTTCCAGGCTCTTTATACTATTGAGATATTATTCGAAAAACCTAGTAACTGTGCTTGACCCCGGAAATCAATGGCTTGAACCCTTGCCTGGCAGTCTCACTTGCGACTATTCGACCAAAGAGGTCCATTCAATTCTATCCATTTTGAACCTTTTCACCGCCAAGCACTTCTATAAAATTCGGGATTTTCGTGAAACAACAATTTATGGATCACTCTTACAAATTATAATAGGTAGTTAGATTTTTATGTTTAAGTGCTAACTCACGTAAATGGCGAGTAAACTCAAACAGTTTCAAGCCTCGATCGGGCTCGCATTCATAGATTATTATGCAGTTCATACTTTTTGGTTTGGTATTAAATTGAAACAACAAAAAACAAAATCCAGTTAAAACTTTCCTGTAAAACAAGATGTTCAATTATAACAATATGGGTATACATATGCAGTGTTAAGCACATAGGGCCGTGGCCACTGACCTCTGACATCTCGTGTCGCAGTAGTAGCGGTATGGCGAGGCTGGTGATATCGTTACTGCACGCCGCCTTCAGTATGTTGCGCAGGCCCAGGATAGCAGGGTGACGGGACGTTATGTCTCCTGGCACACAGTACATTATTTACACTCGATAAGAAAACGTTGCCGAGATGATTAGGAAAAGATAAGAGAGATTTGCTAATAACATAACGCTGATCTTATTGCAAAGGTCCTTAAAAAAATATCAGGTTCTAGCAGTGGCGTGCACAGGTTTTCTAGACAGGGTAGGCAATTAAATATCGTATGATTAAACCCCTCCCCCCCGGTCATACAATGACAATCATACTCACACAAGACAGGTACCTACATGTACAGAATACATTTTGAAAAGTGCGTTCAAGAATATTGTGGTTTATTCTGTCGCCAAATTATGTAATTTGGCGACAGAATAAACCACAATATTCTTGTGTGTCACAATATTCAGTGTATGTACACTGACATCTCGCGTATTTTTTGTGAACTACTTCATCAGCTATGGAATAAGCCAACAAAACTTACAAATAATTGAACATCTATTAATTATACTAATAATGAAGCATAAATTTGATGAACCAAATTCAATTATCGAATTGCTAGATAATCTATTCAAAATCATAATAATATTATATTATATTATATTACGAATTTAAGAACGTAGGTACCTACCAACAAACAAAACAATAACAAGCGCGGCCGGCTGTGGCCGAGCCGAGTATTTATAAGCGGTACATTTGTTATTACATTACATAATTATTAATAATAAATTAATATGTAAATCAGTACAACCCGAAGTCTAAGTTGATATTTTTAAGAATTATCAAACAAGAAAATCAATAAAAGATCCATTAAAGTACATAATATTTACATTACCTACCTTTGACTTGGGTCAATTCTCGTAACTTGAGTACTGCCTATGGTCATTACCTGAATCTAGTCGTTGTAGGACACATTTTTGCGAAAACTTACTGTTTTTAACTTTCAACAAACACAAAAAATTATCTATTATCAACACAAACTTCACAATCGAATAATATAGGTACTTGTACTAGACACTGATAAACAAATACACTATTTGAAAAACCTACACATACATTTAACTACTTCTACACATATTTATGCAACTTTATGTTTAAAACTAATTCCTTATAATTTAAACGAAAACATAAACAAAGCGATCGCACATCACATGAAAACAATATGGCCGAAAACATTGGAATGAATGAACCCATCGTAGTCAATTGAGTGTTTATTATAAAAAAATTATAGCTATAACATTAAGGCAACCCAGTGTTTAATTATAAAAAAACAAAACGTTAATTTACATAAGTCAAATGGAGTTCCGTCATTGTCTTATTATTATTTTCCAATAAGAAACATTCGTTGATAACAATTTGAAACTTTGAGTTATCAAAACGTCAAGTTGCCGCTACTCAAAAGTTATTCCTTTTTACTTTTAAAATAATAAAGTCAACTCCTCGTTTAAAGTTTCTGTAAACCGACAACGCGTAAAAATGTTAAGATTTAATTAAAATACCTGAAACATATTTTTTTAGTATGCATAATTATAAAAAGACATTCGCATTATATCGAACGTGTTCAGAAGTTTTAACAAAAAATTCAATAGATGGCGCAGATTCATAAATTTCAAAGGCCGGCAGCAATGACTTTTTTGCGTTTATGAATGGTTATTCTCTGCTGTGACCATAGTCACGTGACCTTCACGCATGCGCGTTGCATACTTTTTGTGACGTCACAACCAACAACCAAGATTTAAGGAATAGTAGCGCATGCGTGGTGCGTGCGGGGCGCATTCATTGCTTTACAAAGGCGTGCGGTCCGTGTATAGTATATGTGAATGTATATTTATGTTAGCCGTTTTTTTACTAACTTTTATTTTATTATTGAATCTTAATAAACGCGTTTGTACATTTTATGTCAAGCAAAGCCTTTTTGCCTATATGGACTGCACGCCACTGGGTTCTAGGTACTTATACAACAAAGATTAACTTGAATTTATGACTACGGAATGTTCAAGTGAGCTCACGTTAGATGATATCATCGAATCACATTAGTGTCCAGTTATGTTCAGCTGTATCTGTTGTATGTGGGAAGTTACCCGATCGGAGCGAAGAATCGTCCACCATGAGATGGAAGACGACGTGCACCTCGGCGAGGTTGCTGTGCTTCGTGATAAAGATGTCTCCAGTCTGCAGGTCGCGGCGACTGCGCCCGCGCGACCCCGCTCCCCCCGCGCCGTCCGCTTGTAACCGCTGAGAGTTGCGGCGCTCCACCTGACCATACATATACGCAATCATTTAAACTGCTAAATAACATTACATTAAAATTAATATAAAAAAAAACCGCGTCACATCGGTATCATAGATAAAAACTAGCCAAACGATGTGAGTTACCGGTTCCAGCAGTCGTTCGCTGATGTCCCTGAGCTGCGCGTCCATGCTGGGGAAGTGGTGCTCGGTGCTGAGGTCGGCGGCGGCCAGCAGGCGCGTGGTGGGCGGCGCGGGCCGGCGCGGCGGCGCCTCGCCCAGCACCACGCAGCCCGCCAGCTCGCCCGAGTACAGCGACAGCGCCGTCTGCAGGCGACGGGACGACTCCGCCGGACTACCAACACATTTAACATTTACTGTCACCCCACCTCGGCTTCGGCCTGTTGGTGCTGTTTTCCAGCGTTCCCGGTAATTTTTTCATAATGAAGGAAAGAATGAATGAAAGAAGTAACACAACTTACTTGTCAACTTGTTCGACGGCGCAGAGGTCGAGCAGGTCCATGGCGACGATGCGTATGTTATGTGTCTGCTTGAGCTGGCTGCCGAGGTGGATGGTGAAGCTCTCCTCTAGTCGCGCGCCGCCAGCCGCCACTGGCGCCGGTAGAGACACGCTCTCCGGGGAGAATGTCGCCAGTGGAGAGTTACTGGAACCCAATTATAATTCACTGTTCAAGTAGTTCATAAGGTGTGCGTTACCCAGGCCAGATGTTGTCGAAAATAGTCATTTGAATCATATAGTTAATTAGTTTTGTGGCTTGTGTAATTGTTGTGAACTTTTTTAAATTTGTTGCGCTTACCTATAGTTTTTTAATTATTTCAGCTATGTATTATTTTGGTTTTAACAAATTTAAACTAATTCCTAAGAAGCCATGTACAAAATATAATTAGAATACGCTTAACCATTTCAAAGATCCAGCAAAATCAAAATCGTTACCCCAGTAAAATCTCGAATAACTTCGCAACTGATGAAAGAACAAATACAAAATTAGGCACAAAATTTACTTCATCTAGACAACTAATTTTATAGCTAATAAGTACTTAGATATTCCCATTAGAAAGAAAAAGGTCTGGCTGGTAACATAACCCCAGCAGGAAATATTTTTGTGAAATAATTAAAAACTATAAGTGCAACAAATTTTAAAATGTGTGCAACAATTACAGAAGCCACACAACTAATTATCTATAAGATTCAAAAAACCATTTTCGATAACATCTGGCCTGGGTAATGCACATGTTCATAAGCAACACTAAAAGATGTTCATTAATCTTCTATTGTAACTTGTTGCTCTAATATTACCTACATGACGTGATGTTTAAACACTAAGAATAGAGATTGTGCATCACTTTGTGAACCTGCACTTGATTCAGTTGTTGACTGGTGTGAACAAGTTTAATCTTAAATCCAAACTAAACATACTTTAAAAACAAAGTTTTATGATGAAAGTTAAAGTATATAAGAATCATACTAGGGGTCAAAACTACAAAAATTGCAAGTGACTGAACCTTGGTGTGTTGAGTGCCGAGGTGCTCTGGTACTCCTGCAGCGTGTCCATGAGCCAGGCGCGGTGCTGCGCGCGCTGTGTCTGGCGCAGCGCGTCCAGCTGGGAGCCCCAGCGCCCGGCCACCAGAGCTTGCTGCTCAAACTGCTGTGCTGCTAGCTCATTGATCTCTTCCTCTGTGCTAGAGATGTTTAGCATACGGACTTTCTCCTCCATTTCTTCAGTCTGCCTGAAAAAGGAAGCTAGTTTGTAAATAAATTATCCAGTAACAATGACAATTACAACAATATTACAACAACATGTTCAGTGTTACTTACTTTTGAGTGAGTTTCTCAATATCTTCATCCCTGCTCTTGAGTGTGTTCATCACAGTTTTGGCATATGAGTTCTCAACTTGCAGGATAGTTTCCAGGGCAGGTGAGTGTACCAGCTTGTGGTATGCCGCTGCAAACACCTCTTCATCGGACGTGCCCTTCTGTTCTGCAAACTCCATCACATTGTCTTTAAACAACTTCTCCCAGTTCTTGATTATGCCTTCTACATTGATTTCACTGTTCTTAAGTTGGTTCAGCAGTTTCCTGTCTCTCTCATTGTGGAAGTTTTTGGTTTCTTCTGCTACAAACTGTGCTAATTTCTCATTCAGTTCTGTAAAGTACCATTTTATTTAAAACTTTGTGCCATTTGCTTATTGATAAATCCACAAACAATTTTTATACTAGTTCTATCTGTATCTTATTTATTTATTGTAGGAAGGCATTGGATCAGGTAGAAGGTAAGTAGGAAGGTTGAGCCATCTCAAGTGGGTTCTCTATTGACCTCAAAAACTTAGAATGTGTTTATTGGTATTATTATTATAAGTAAGTGTAAGCAATAACAGCTCGATTAGACTTAGGAAGATTGCCCAAAGCAGTTATCAGCCACAACTGACTATAGAATTACAGATACAGACCTTCTTCTAAATACACAGGCACATGAAACATGTTGATAACTCGTTGCACCAGCTCCCTGGTGGAGCCGGCGTGAGGAATGTCCACTGGCACCTCCAGGTTGAAGTGGATTTCTTCGTTCGTACATGTCGGGAATGAATATTTGAATGTTTTGGTGATATTTTGAACCGTCTCTCCAGTCATGATGAAACACTAACACAAACGTATTGTAGCAGTAGTTATTTCTTCTTTGATCAAATCACTTAAGCTAACTTAGACACATCAACAAATATACGCCTACATTATTTTACATTATTTAAATGTTTATATTAGATTCATCTATCGCATCATCGCATCCTGTCAATTCCTGTCGTCTGGTTTCCGTCATCTGTCATTTGTCACTCGATATCAGTGACAGACAGGTGAAATTTCGTTCTGAATTTTTTTTTTCTATAAAACTACGTTTACAAACATATGATTAATTCACATCATTCCCACACACGAAACAACAATTCGTAGATCACTAAAAGAATGTTTCCTGCGAGAATTAAACCCATGCCCGCGACACGTTCTGCAGCAATCGGTCGCCTAATCATTGCGCCAACTATGCCGCCAAATTATTGGGATATTAGGATATACTTCGTCTTTAAAATTACGTCTATTACATAAGTATTGAACAACGACGGGGCTGTTCGTGCCACTCAAGTCACCATGTTCTGTTAAACACTGTGCAGCTTATTAGTCATATTTTTGTACGGTACACTATTTTTCTAACAGGTTGACAACTTGAACATTGGTACCTACAATTTATTGTTATGCCGTGATAATCAACTGGTGCTTGCTAATTTAAGTGACAATCCCCAATTTGTGTTTTCTCCTCTGTTGTGGATGCGTTTGGAAACATACAAATTCATACATATAAATACTCATCATACCTACAGTTAAAACAACAATTAGTAAATCACACAGAGAGTGTTTCGTGCGGGAATCGAACCCGCGACACGTAGTAGCCAGTTGTCCAACAGCCACAGCGCCAACAGTGCACTAACACATTGCCAATAAATATTTTTCAGTTTCCGAAATATTCAATGAAAGCTCTGTCGGGCACCGCAATGTGTGCCTTGTGTTGTGTCATTGTCATCTATTCAATACACGACATATATATACATAACATTACGCCTTTTTACCCTGAAGGGGTAGGCAGAGGTGCACATTACGACACTTAATGCCACTATACAATTTAAAACCCACTTTTCATTATTTATGTCATGAGTCCCATGTAATAGGGGGTGAGCCTATTGCCATATACCGGGTACAATTCCAGACTCCGTGCTACTACTGAGTTTTTTTAAATCCTTGTAATGCTTTGCTCGACCGCCGGGAATCGAACCCGAGACACCGTGCCCGGCAGTCGCGACCACTCCGACGAGGCAGACACGAATACACGATAACAATGCATTAATAGACTTGCGACTATAGGTACTTGTGTTGTGGCAATGATCCATCAGTTTCATAACTACGGTGGTCTTAGGTTACTATCCGAGTTAAGATCTGACTTCGGGGACTGTACAATAAGCTCGGTATAAGACGTGCCCTTGCGGCCGCTCTGAATGATTTGTGATCTCAGCGCTGGGTCTTGTCCTAGTGTATGTTGCGAGGTGCATCCCGCGTGCTTTGTGTAGTGCAATGACAACATTCGTGTATCTGTACAAGTGTGACCGTTTGGACACATGTCATTTAGTTCAGACTTAATAGATCATTTATTTGAAACAGATTATGAATACATAGTATTCTTATAAAATTATAAATATGATTCTGCAGCTGGTCGCACATAGTACGGGGACAGTACTACACAATACTTTGGTAATAGTAGAACTATATTTTCATTATATATAAATTAAAAAAATGGAAACAATAAATTAATTACATAAAGAAATTAAATAAAAAATGTTGTCGGTTCACATCGTGCTCTTTAATCCGATGAGTCAGAACCGTGCGGCGGCCGGGCGGTGTGCTGCTGTGCGCTGCGTCTCAACACCTCTTGTTTCGATGTTTCGATGGTATTTGATGGAATATTTACGCGGCCTCGCCGCCCTCCTCCTCCTCCGCGCTGGCGGTGAGCATGGAGATCAGCTTCACGGTGTCAATGAAGCCTTTGTCGTCAATGTCCATCTGGTCGTACGCTTCGTCGACTTCGTCGGCGGAGAACTTGTCACCCCAGGTCATGAGGGCGTGCCTGAGCCTTTCGGAGTCGATCTTGCCCTCGTCGTCGAAGGTCTTGAAGGCGTTGATGACGACGTCATCCTCGTCGGAGCCGCCGGACATGCGGTTCGCGAAGAGGGTCAGGAGCTGGGTGAAGTTGATGGGGCCGGATGCCTCACCAACCATCTCGTCAAGCTCCTTCTCTGACGCCAGCCTGCCGAGCGAGTCGAAGGTGGCGCGCAAGTCGTTCTTGCCGATGATGCCATCCTTGTCGTGGTCCATTAGCTGGAAGGCCTGGAGGAGAAGGTGCTCGGTTAGAACAGGAAACACTAAATACTTTTGATTCAAGAAGGGTTTCCTCAAGTTCCTTGTATATGTCCATTACCTACGTCATTTAGTCTTATAGTAAAACGTGCAATATTGTACACGGATGACGATACAAACACACAGTCTTGAAAATGTTCTCGTTATTAAAGACAATGAGTGCAAGAGATGAGCTATGTTTACACAACAGCCGGATGGGCACGAGCTAAACACAACTAGTGCAAATCTTCAGATTCTACTTAATTGACGTACTTACTATTGTTCAAATTGATAGGACGATCACTCTGATACAAATTCTTCAAACTCAAACTCAAACTCAAAAGCATTTATTTCAATTAAACCATAATTTGGTACTTTTGAAACGTCAATAAATATGAAATATATAATAGTCAGTCCGTCTGTCCGTCAGTGAAGCTAGGCGCTCGTTCCAAAATGTCGATTCGAGTGGAGAAGAACGAGCAAGAAACTCCATTCGTTACTCTTTTTAAAAAAAAGTCTGTTTTACATTGCTCTGATACATAATTCCAATATTGTACACACAATATTTCCAATGTTGACTTTTTGGTCAAGCTTTTTACTTTGCACTGACTGAATGCCTTAGTTTTGGGTTTGCAAAACTTTATTTGGTACAGATGTTTTACGATTTCGAAATTTTTATGTGGAAACTTTGACTATAATCAGGACAGCTTAGCATCTTTCTTGTTGTAAGAACATTCTGGAGATCCTTACCTCCTTGAACTCAGCGACCTGCTTCTGTGAGAACATGGAGAAGACATTGGAGCCGGTGCGCTTGGCCTTGCGGCTGCCACGCGACGACTGCCTGTCGCTGCCACCAGTGGCGGCGGGCGCAGCTGGAGCTGGCGCCTCTTCTGCTGGTGCATCTTCCTTTGCCTTCTTCTTCTTTACCTTCTTATCTTTATCCGCCTGTTAACAATTAGCAAATGCAATTATTAAAGACAATTCAATTTCTATTCATTTACACATTGGAAATTGATTACTTTGTCTAGATTTTTATTTTGATTGACAGACAACAGCTTGTTATGTATGCTAATTGAATAGGTGTGGAAACGATGAACCCGCCAACCAATTTAAAGTTTACGGAAACCAAAGCTGAAGCCTGAAGCGGAGTTACTTTTGAAAGTAATAAAAAGTCTCTTGAATTAATTTATTTTAAAATGAAGACTATTTTCTTTCATTATAGTACTTAATTACCGCGTGTTGTCACCGGCTAGTTCCCGTTAAGGCGTGGCGAGATGGCGCCCCTATATTTAGCCCAGTCCGGCTTGGTTTACACCGACACGGTACGCCCGGCTCACTACCACTCGTTACATCATTTTATTTATAGAAGGGCGCGTGCGCTCGTTTCAGCTTCAGGCTAATATTAATTACTATCACATTTTGTTTGATTTGTGTGTGATGGTGTAAAATAATAATATTTTATTATAATTGTCAATGTTCTAAGAGCTTAATATCGAAGTTTAAATGCGATGTCAAATTTTCTGGATTGGAGCAGACGTTGGGCACGAAGGTACAACGCGATCTTTTAGAATTCCGTTCTGGCATCCAATTAGATATTAAGCAGACACTCGGTGCCTAGTATTGACTTCGTATAACGGCGATGCAGTCACCAGCACTAAGTATTGTTCACTGTTACGTATGTCCCATCATTACTCGCTGCGGGAAGTTCTACCCCGGCGGTACGCGGCGTGGTCTCCGAAGTGTTCCTCACTTGCATCACAATTCACTTTACAATCACTAGAGTGTTCACTGAGGTGTCACTGTGTCTAACACTTACCATTGTGATGTGTGTTGGACGATCGACGAAGGAGAGACTGTTCCGCTCGGCAGTCCCACCCTGACTCCGAGTTTTCGTTCCCTCTCGGAGATCCAGGAGGATCCCCCCTCCGTTTCTCCCCTCCCGGCGGTCGCTGTGCTCGCCATTCCTTTTTTAGTTCGACAAATACGATAGTCTTCGAATCGGCATCAGAACGGTTTGGGCGGCTCGCCGGCTCAGCCGTGGTAACGTTTTTGTTTAGATTTATAAATATATCAGCTCACCTGTAGTGGGGCAGTTTCCTGGGTACAACGTACGCCGCTCGATTCTTTACAAATATAACTTTATTGAATGGAACTTTACCACGTTCCTATCGGCTCCACTTTGAACATTTCTGGGTCTTTTGAGTGCGTCTGCTGGTGCACCAGCATCCACCAGATTCATGTGATGCGTCCGTAAAACCACGTTGTTTCAATTATTGGCTGTGTTACGAGATGATCATATTGATTAACAGAGCAAGTGACTTCAGATGGTAGTTATCAATGGCGACAATTAATTCTGAAGTCACATGCGACTCTGAGTAACTTAAGTTCAGCGGTAGTTCCACAAGCTGCAGCCTCTGGAAGGCCATGAATACTTTCTCGTTTTCAATGTTTAACAAATCACAATATTCACAATGTATTGATTTTGTGTAGTTACTTATAGGTTTTGTGAGATTAATTTTCAATTCTATTAGCTGCCCGGTTACCATAGTGGCTGAGACATAGGCTGAATATTTGCGTGATGACAATTAATTCAAATTATTGTTCCGGGTCTGGTATACACCTATGTGATGTTTAAATTTGTGATGTTTGTATTTAACTCGTTGAGTACCGTCATTATAGACACAATTAAAGAACAATAGGTTCCGGTCACCGGTGACCGCTTGGTGTTTGACAGTTTAACTCGTCGAGTACCGGTTTTGTAGACACAATTATAGAACAATAGGTTGCGGTCACCGGTGACCGCTTGGTGTTTGACAGTTTAATTCGTCATAATGCAGAGGAAAATCTTAACAGAGGCACCATAATATAACACCGTACCAATTAGTTAATGTTATAAACACCAACACGCCCACACCCGCGGTTATATACTAAAACATCAATTTTCACCAGTTACGTTGTGAGGCCCTCGAAAGCAACTGTTCCCATAAGGGGTCATGACATTTGTCATACACTGGATTCATTGTCAATTTTGATCTTAATGAATGAAATTCGTGCAATTTTTCGAAACATTCAATAATAGGTACTTTGCTACGAAGAGTGACGACAATACGGAGCTCCGCGCTAAAAGGGGATCGCTGATAACCGCATCTTTAGAGTATTTTTTTATTAAACTACGCAATCATAGTTTTCAAGTCTCAGAGTTAATATGTTTAGGAATAACCTTCTCAACGCACCACAGGGTGTTCAGTTCCATCCATTGTTCCAGGGATAACCTGTATAATTAAGTGATTAAATCAAGGGCCGCTCTATAGACGGTACGGGTCCCGTATTTATTAATCCGCTACTGCAGGCGCAGGCAGATTTGCATAACTCTTGAGGCGAGAGAGTGGAGAGCATGTGTGATGTACCTCACATAACACACCCAGTGACGTCAGCTTACAATGCCGATGGTATGTCACCCCACTGCCAAGTGCCACTGCCTCACAGTCACATTGCTCCCCGCGCCGGCTGCCAGTACTTTCCACATAATCAACAATGTTGCACACAACCAAAACTGAATGTCTCACTATTGCAATTTCATCGTCCAGCTTGATACTTTTTAGTCCCTGAAAGGGTACTTTCTTCATTATCATCATCATCAACAACCCTTGAATATCCACTACTGGACAATAGGCCTCCTCTTACAGGAGAGGGTTTGCCATAACTTCCAGACAAGCGGGTTGAAAATCACACAGCTTAAACGGATCACATTTATTAGACCTGCATAAGTATAAGGGACTGATAAGTCGACTATTAAGGGACTGATATTTTATGACATCCTCGGGCCTCATCATACCAGGGCGATGACAAATGCGCCTAGGTACTGACAAAGGACTACACTTGTAGGTAATGATAAAGGTACCTATTCCACTCTCCCGTCATAACATTTGTCATCAGTCATGATGTAACTCTCATATAATAAAAGGTGCAATCCTTCAGCTCTGTTCGACTGCGCGGTTGATGCGGTGGCTGGGCGGCCGGATGCCGTGAACGTGTAGCGGGTTCGATTCCCGCACGGAGCACACACTTTGTGTGATCCACAAATTGTTCTGGGTCTTTCAAGGCTTTCAAGCGTAGGGCGACGTCGTTTAAATAAAATACATCAATATTTTATTCTTTCGATAGAATTTCACCAGGCTGGAAACATCCGTTTTTTTATAGCATAAGCCGGTAAACGAGCCGATAGATTACTACTGTGGATAACCTGACTCACACGACGAAACACAACGCAAGCGTTGTTTCACGTCGGTTTTCTGTGAGGCCGTGGTATCACTCCGGTCGAGTAGGCCCATTCGTGCCGAAGCATGGCTCTCCCACACTTAAAACACACTATTACACTCGGTGTAGGGTGGCAAATGGTATGTTAGTGTGCTGGAAGTATCTGCTCATCCTACATTCTCCAGCGAATATTTTCGTGGTTTTCTCCGCTATTAGAGCGTGTTTACAAACACGTGCACACTGAAGTCATTCCAGCCGCTCCTAAATTACACAGATGATTAAATGTTGACATATTTCTAAGTAACCAGTTACTACGAGATTACACTTGCGTAACATGCCATGCTATCTTGATTGCTACGGATAAACACTCTTTAAACGCAAAATGAAATAGTTTTACGTGAATTTTATAATTTATATTTAATGTTGTCACTCATTCAGGTTGCTGTGGCGCTTCAAATATATTTGTAGTCGTATATTATATTGTAATAAGGTACCATTGCGTAAAAGAATTAGACTTTTTGCTCCTTTTAAGATTAGGTTTAGAATTGACCATACCTAATTGCCTGTCAGCCACCAGTTGCTTTATGTATCCTAGATCAGTGAAGACGAGTCTATTATCGTACAGAGCATGATACTTGTAAGAGGATTTGTCGATACAAATTGTCTTACGTTTACCTCAAGTACCTATGTAAGTATGTACTACCTATTACAATTTTACTAACGACCCTGAGATTAAATTATTGGCCGTAGTTTCACCTGTGAGTCATTTCCATTAATCTATAGATGATTTTTTGTATTTTTAGTCCATAAAAATAATATCGATATAAATCCATGAATAAATTGTTGTCATAACATCCGGAGACAGTGTGCAGGTGTGAGGCCACGTATATTTGGACGACACTCATAACGAATTGAATACAAATACACATCACGGTCCGGGAATCGAATCGCGATATAATCGGTGTGGATTACAATGACCTTATTTCAGCGCGTGACTCAGTCTGGGCCAGGAATAGCGGGCCGGCTGCGCGGGCGCACTTACGTCACAACTGCGGACACATCACACACACATACACAAGATACAGAGATACTGAATGTCCACATAGTGTGCTCTGTCGTAGTCACCCCATAGCACAAGGGGGTGCGACAAATAGGTATCATTAATAAGGTCCATTTCCGTATAATTTCTTGATATTGACGCGAGCTCTTGGGAACTTGAACTTAAATAAATTGGAATATAAACATGATTTTAGCATGCAAATAGATCTTGACAAGAGATTAGTTATTTGTAATAAAGGTGACTTGATTTTTGCGGTAATCGGCCTTAAAGAGGATTACTGTGATAGTATGGCAGCTAGGCTTGAGGTGGACAGTTATGTATTTTCCTTTTGAAACGAAATGCTTCAGGGATTCTTATTTTGGTATTCTTAGCAATAGCATGGAGGTTTATGATCGTACTCGAAATCTATATACATACGTACGTATAATAAAATCGTAGAAAAGTTAAAACTGTAGGTACATTGAATATTTTTTTAAAAAGAATACTTGAAGCGTGATCTACGGCCGATACCGAAGCCAAAATTATGGTTTTTAGAATTGTTGTCTGTTTGTCTGTATGTATGTACTGCATGACTGCATGGATTTTATTCAAATATTGCATGAATATTGATAACAGGTTGAGTCAACATATAAGCTACATATTACCACGCCATCACCAACGGGGTAGATGCAGTGAAACACTATTCCACGCGAACGAAGTCGTGAGACACAGCTAGTATATTAATAGGTTCGCATCTTATAAGCTGCCTATCGCAAATTATTATTTATGTGAATAAGAACCTCGCCCTAATCCGACACTTCTTTTGGGTGATACACAGTATGATGTTTGATAATTAAAAAAATCAATTAATGCAATTTTGAAGAATGGGTTATTTAAAAATGACATCACCCTGTTCCTTAAAGAAATGTAGGACCTTATAAATGTGTCTGATTTCGCTGCGATTGAATAATTCTTCGTTAATCCAGTACTCAGCCTTACAGTACGTAGAAATAGTAAAACAACGTTTACTACAATTCGAATAGTTGTTTTAAGCGGTAAGCAATAAAGAACTTTATGTAGAGTAATCAAGGCAATTTATGACTTGATTGAAGTTTCGCTATTACTTGAGTGTGTTTTATCACACTCTTTTAAACGTAGTAGTCTACATCGGAATTATTGTTTGAATATATTCAAGGATCATCAGTGAACATAAGTGATGACAAAGACAACTTTTGAATGTTGAGAAGACAAGAGTACAGGCAATTGTCTGTACGACTCTCAGTGGGAGTAGGTACTGCCTTAGTGTTGATTTTAAAATCAGCCATTTTAGGATAGATCTAGATCTATCACGAGATTTTAGATTCATATCATTCATCAATTTCGGCCTTACGTCGGTTCTTATGACATCGGAAAGGCAGGAGTGGTTATGATAAATTTGTGCACCTTCACGTGGTCGATATGTTATTACGTTTCAATGTTTATGTTGCAGACCAGGCCGGCTCCGGGGTATATGTCAGTAATTCATAGCATCATAAATATTACAGACAACTAATTAAGATGACGCGTGCGACATTGGGGCACTTCAATGTTTTGATCTTCATCAGAATATATTTACGATTTCTTGGCGACTGACGGACGGAATACTGGAATATTTTAATGTAATAATTACTGAAGTAATGACGTACATTATGTAATGAAAGTTAATGGTTATGGCTAATAAAATGATTAATATTGATTTGGCACGATCGTAGTAATGTAGTTTCAGAGTAATATCGAAAAAGTAATGGCGATTATTAAATTGCATTGCATTTACATTCATAAGAATTATCTTATGTATGAATGTAGAAATACATGGTATTTATAGTTCCCAACATTCCAAGTAAAAAGTATTAGCATCGCCCATCAGATCAACAATCCCACATGGTCAGGTAAACACTCATATGTTCGACCACACTTGATTTAGGTACTCTTCTTATTTATGTTTTCTCTGAAAGAGTAACCTGTGGGAGATTAGTGGTGGTGGGGTATTTTCCATTTATTTCACTATCATACCAATAAATGAATACAGGATCTCAACAGTGGATGTTACCAGGATTGTATGCAGAAATAAAATTACAGTTAATATGCCCTAAGAGTTGTGGGTGCAGGGTAGACGGCAGTCGCTTCGTATAAATACTGAGAACAGACTCAATCCACATAATTTGTACAACCCATCTAATATCTTCATAGATTTTGGATTGATGTCGATTTTTTACAAATTCTGTCAAAAAACTGGATAGATCCAGAGATATTTGATCAAGATTGGTTGTTAATTTCATGCGCGAGAAGAAAAGTCAGTAGGAGATGCTGACACCGTGTATCTGACTGTTGCAATATTGATATTGTCAGGTACTTTTGTGTATCAAGAGATGCGTGTTCCATCGACAGCTTCCTCTATTCTGTGAACAATTCAAACGTAGTCTCCGGTTTACCGCGAAATCCAGCAAATGACGGCTCGTGGTTTCCTTCCAGTCGACCTTAACATGTTGTGTCCTGCTCTACCGTGCTGTCTCGCTCGTTAAGTTGTACTTGAATGTTTGTGTTAAGTGGTGAGCCAGTGCCTTTCACTCCGCGGGAGAAACCAGCGGCATGATGCGCGCGAGTACAAGCTTCTTGTAGTACTTAGTGATATATTGTGACGATATTATAGTGTAGTGACAATGTGGCACCGATGTAGTCATCTCAGACCAAAGCTGTTGTGTTTACTGTATGTTGTGTTTAATAGTGTCGGTAAGTTGGCTGAACATTAGTCACAACTTGTGCGAAGTTTCGTTCGTATCCTGATCAACTGGTTTTGAGTTGATTTCTCTATAAATAGTTGTGATTGTTTATAACGAAATCACGAGTTAAAAACATTTGTTCATAATAAAATGAAAGCAGTCGTTTAGTAATGTAGAGGATTAGGTAATGTGTAAAGACAAGGTATGACTAACTGCTGAGTTACGAGCTGCAGCGCCTGTAGCTTTCCAATACAACAGTAGAGAACCTAGGTATTTGCGCAAGGCTACTGATTGAAGTGTTTTAACTTAACTTGAATTTTTATCAATAATATGTTAGATTGGTACAAGTATTATTTATACTACTTATTCATAACAATACGTAATGTAAGTAACATGAGGCTGCAACAAACAGCAACGCTACAATCGAACATTGACAGTACCAGCAAATATGTACTTTGTTGGTATAAACTTTCGAAAGTGTATTATTTCTTTTGTCAATCAATTACAATTACAATAAGACACAAAATGTCTCAAGGCCGGCTGGGACTCGAACTAGTTGTGATTGCGCTCACGTCGCGGAGACAGTGGCATAACTGGACACAGGCACCACACCATTGGGTAATATATTATGTCAGTGTGTGTGAGGGACTTGTGTATGTGTAGTGTTACACTCATAACACAACATAACATTACTAGTGTTGTTTTTGTTTTCCGATGGGGTTGACAAAGGGTAGTTCCTAGTGATTCGCCTTGTAATGAGGATAGACAGCGTCTTCCAGTACATAACTTGAGTGACGTACATACTAGGTAGTGGCTTTAATGCTAGTATTTTGAAATGCACCAAATATTGTAACTACACATAAATGACACTATTATAGGAGAGCCGTAACTTAGGTAACAGTGAAGTTCCTTTGCAGAAATATCAAAATGCCTCGTACTGCGCGCGTACCTGTCACAGCACGGCCTGCACGGCGAGCTGGAGTTCTCTCACAAGAACAACACGCTCATCAGCATCAGAACCAATTTGAAGCCCACACTCCAGTACCCTGACGGAGTCTGGCGGTGGACCATACACGAGTTCCCCGTCGACTACAGGGACCTGTCCGAAGACAGGTGCTCCGACGCTAACTTGGGGCAAGAAATAATTGATCTCACTGAAGAATTAGGTTACCTCATAATACCGGGTAAAGACCACGCAGAGTTCGAGAGCAAAAACACATTGACAGGCCCGAATGGCCTCTGGGGCAAGAGTATAGTGTTCGAGACAGCAGAGAGGGACAGAGTGATCTGCGCGTCCATATTAGCGACAGACAAGACTTATGAGAAGAACGCGATAGCGAGGTTCACGTCCCCGGTCGCCGGCGCCCTGCACTTCAGGTGGCTCTCAGCGAGGGAGTCGGACGAGTCAGACTCGTACATCCAAGCAGACCTGTACCACACCAAAGCTGTGTCAAACAAAGCACAGTTCACAGAGCACAAGTGGAAGTTATTTGTGACGGACATCTTCGATGCGGACAAGGGGAACTACGAGGACAACTGCAATGTTCTGCAGCTTGTGTTTGATCCGGAGAACAGCGGGGACGGGATGAGTGTGGGGGACTTGGACAGCAGGCTGGGGCTCATCAAGGTGGCGACGGACGCCAACATCATGAAGACCAAGACGTTGTTCAAGGATGAAGTGATCAATGTGCTGCGGAGCGACATGGAGGTGACCCGCCGCAGCCTCTACGTCGTCATATACGACAACCGACACCCTGACAGCTTCCTCGCCTGCGCCAAGCTCAGGCCCATGCTACCTAAAAGCACTAAGTAAGTAACAATTATATTCTTCGCAAGTTATTCTTAAATACGTTTTATTGGTCTAGTGAACCATCACATGTTTTTTTTTTTTTTTTTTTTTTATGGAATATATAAGCCGGTAAACGAGCAGACGGATCACCTGATGGTAAGCAATCGGCGTCGCCCATGGACACCTAGAACACCAGAGGCGTTACAAGTGCGTCACCGGCTTTTTGGGGATTAGGAGTTTGAGGATCGTTGGGGATTCAGGGATTGGGGAGATTGGGGAAGGGGAAGGTAATTGGGCCTCCGGTAACCTCACTCACACGACGAAACACAACGCAAGCGTTGCTTCACGTCGGTTTTCTGTGAGGCCGTGGTATCACTCCGGTCGAGCCGGCCCATTCGTGCCGAAGCATGGCTCTCCCACACAAAGTTCTAGTACAAAATGGGACCTCCTTATTTGGTGGCAGCTGTAAGCTGTGTATGACTGAAACTTTATAGATGAAGGTGATTATGTTACTTCCTAGTATGCTTCCTAGAAATATTCTATGTTCATAACATGTGTACTATTGAGATGTAGAATATAACAATTGTGTGAATAGTTGGCGTGCGTTATTTAGGTTTGTAGTCAAGGAAGTGATTTTTGAGCGCGAACGTTTGGTCATTGGTCATTGGCATGCTCTCAAATATGTAGATATTAATACTTCACTTTCTAATCATTTATATCGTTAGATATAGATATATTTTTGTATATCTAGTACTATCAATAGTGGAAGGCACTATTTTTGAAGTTAATACAGTTTACTTAATTCTAGAAATTTTCACAAATGAGGAGGAATGATAGAATATTAACAACTTTGATTGTACACAGTATTTATATATTTGTTCTAAATTAGAACAAATATATAAATAATTGAATTCATATATGTATATACTTAGTATCATCATCATCATAACATCACGCCTTTTATTCCCGAAGGGGTAGGCAGAGGTGCTCATTACGGCAATTACTGCCACTGTCCAATGTAACACCCACTTTTCACTATTTATGTCATAAGTCCCATGTAATAGGGGGTGAGCCTTTTGCCATATTATACTGGACTCATTTCCAGACTCCGTGCTACTACTGAGTTTTTATCAAATAACCCAGTAATACTTTGACTGACCCGGGAATCGAACCCGAGACACCTTGCCCGGCAGTCGCACTTGCGATTACTCTGCCAGTGAGGCACTCATACTTAGTATCAATGTCAATTAATTATAATGAATGCTCTTGGCAAGGCTAGGTCCAGCAGTGGATGGAAGCACTAATAAGACAAGGAATCAAGAATAAATATAAACACGCATAACAAATTTATATTATTTCAGAGCTCTAATCAACATGGAGGGCATCCGGGGCTCTATAGACTTCACGCAGCGCTCCCCCTTCGACCCAACCTGGACGAACTTCCAGCTGGGTGCAGCTGACCAGGACTACGAGTCCAATCTTCGCTTCGTGAGCTCCGTCTTGCAGTACAACGTGCGGGACCTGCCGCCGAGGCTGGTGGCTGATGACGTGCAGTCCTACTGCAACACTACCAGTGGCATCTATAACCCCACTCGAGTGGATTTGAAGAACCTGCCACCCCCAGGTGAGGCAGTTGTAATTGAATAGTAAATAGTGTATTTGGTGATCTGTACTGTACTGTAAACTATCGATTGTAGAAGTAGATACATATTCAAGCATATAATATATAGTTTATACTATAGTTAATGTATTCCATATAAACAATGCCCCTTGATGGACATGTACAGTTCAGTTCACAATAACCATTTGTCCCTACTTGTGTTATTGATATAAGGTTCTCGCAGTTAGGGAGCAATACAATGTTTAATTCGGACATTGTGCTTGTTAATTTTTCCAAAGAAGTATTGAAAAATCCTTTCAGACATCTTTCATTGCTGAAAATATTCATAAGTGCAAACTATTAACTGTTTTTTGATCCATCATTGAACCTTGTGGGTTAACTCGTTAACACCTGGGATCACCGGCTCGATACAAAACACTAGAACATTCAATCCGAAGTAAACAATTCCATAGAGATTATAGTTGTGTCGATAATCATACACGGACGGTTTTATTTCAGTAGCTCGGCTGAAAATACTCCGTGCCATAGTTCAGTCGACAGAAATAGATCTCTGTTGTATTATATGTGGGTCTGTGAGATTCTCGCTCAGGAATTTATTTCTCAAGTTATCCAACTGTTCATCTACAATACATGGAAACATTATGTGTGTTCGGAAGTTGAAACTAGACTAGCGTAGCAGTACAACATTTCTTTTATAGTTACCGGTGCAATGTGCACAAATGTTTGAAAGACTGAAACTACCCCGGTTTACTATCAATAGTAGATTTGAATTTATGTAGATAGTTTTTCTCTGATAGATGGTAGATATGTTGGTAGCGAGCCAACTAGCCGAGCTGTGGTATCTAGCGAGCAAGCCAATATGTTCTTGTTTACAGCGCATCGCTCGCTAGGATGACGTGGACAGAGAGACCGCGTTTGTTGCCAAAATAACTGACAAATCACTTTCAATATGACAATTGTCTGAATGCTTTCCATTAAATAGATTCAATATTTTGGTGCCGTGTTTAGTTTAGATACTAGCTTCTGACAGCGGCTTCGCCCGCGATCCCAGGGGGAAAATGCCAATGTATTACATCACACCATACTCTACCTCTGTTCCGAATTTTTATTATAAAATGGAGTAACTTCTTCCGTTTTCCCAATATTTCCCTTCACTGCTCTGCTCCTATTGATCGTAGCGTAATGAAAAGTATACTATAACCTGCCCAAGAGTATGAAGAATAATTGTGCCAAATTTCGTTAAAATCCGTCGAGTAGTTTTTGTTTCCATAACGAACATACAGACAGACAGACAGACAGACAAAAATTTTACTGATTGCATTTTTGGCATCAGTAGCGATCCCTAACCACCCCTTGATAGTTATTTTTTAAATATATTTTATGTACAGAATTGACCTCCCTACAGATTTATTATAAGTATAGATTTAAACGTGGCTTCGTTGATGAATGTTGTACTTTGTAAACACTAGAATAACTACTGGAAGTTACATAACTATTTTCAGTTAACCAATGAACTGTTTTAAATTGTTTAAAATGTAAAGGCAGTTATTTTGCAGTTGTATTTAAAAAACTAATTAGGTATTATGGTACTAACATTAGGAACTCATTGGAAAGATTACTAATTGTACCTTCTCTTGACCGATGTGCTTGTATGACACAATGTATGAATGTAATAGAAAGATCAAGAAGTATGTAAGAGTCGTAATAGTGAGCAATTTATTCCTTGAATCATTTGTATAGACTCCACTTGATCATTCGCAGGTATGGGCACACAGGACCAGTATCCAGTAGGACACCTGTTGGGCAAGCACAAGGACCGCACGGAGTACCTGAACCACAAGTACCTGCTGCCGGGGCTGGCCAGCGAGCTCAGCGGCGCCTACTGGGACGTGTACCTGCCGCTGCAGGGCATACACAGCGTCGTGCACAGAGCCATCGTCGTTGAGAGGTAGCAGACAATCTTTCTTCTGACACTGATATAATTAATTTTGGAGCGCCTTACATCATGTTACAAAATTATAGATATGTCATTTTGCTGGAAGATCACTGCTGAACAAGCAGTATTCCCTTAGCCCTCCACAAATGTATTGCCTGGAAATGGCTTTTGACTTAAAGTACACGGTAAAATAGTAAGAGACCACCAGCCTGTTAATGTCTCACTGCTGAGAAGAAGAGAAGGGGTATAAACATTTATTACCACGCTTGTTCAAGGCGAATATATTAAGATAGCTAGATATGAAATTTTTCCTCTGTAGCAAACATCACCTGCATCTGAGTTATTACATTAGATCCGTAAATAGCTCTCACATACACATCGCCTGAAATAGGATTACTGTGAACCTTGACTACTCCAATGATTTAATGGACAGGTACATACCTTCAAACCCGTTCCTAACTAATGTTGTTAGAATATGTTCTAGACAGAAACTAATACAACTAATGTAAATGTTATTCATTTAACTGTTACTCAACTTTCGTTTGTTAATATATTTTTTTGTGCTTTTACTAAGTAAACAAGGAATATGACGTCGATCCGTTTACAACTAGTGTGAACTCGGCAAAGAGGTGCTTAAGCCTAAAATTTTTTAAGCAGCAGTAGATATCTAGGTTTATTTATTGTTTCTATAGATCATATTGTCTGCACGGACTGTTTCAATATTTAATTTTTTCATTTACGCAGAATGTATATATTTTTAATATTATTCTATAGTACTCACACCATATTAATTAATTTATTCCAAATCCTAAACGTGAGGACTTGTTATTGGCTCATTGTTACCTACGCCTATTGTTATTTTAATCATTTTTATAAGCTGTAAATCCTCCATGAATTATAATTAAATAAATAAATAAATTGAGTCTGTGGAACCGATAATCTTATTAAGTAAGGACTTTAGGGATATTTTTCGCTGAACTAAGAGTAACAACCTTTGTTTCAATGTTTGCTTTGCAGACGGGCACCAAAGCGTAACGTGTGCGGTACCATCTTACTGTACGAGGCGGACACGGAGTACCAGACCCCGATGTTCTCGGCGCAGGTGATATTCAGGTACCCTATTGTGGGCCGCGTCGTCTTCCGCCAGCCACAGGACAGACCTTGGGAGGACACCACCATCATCATCGAGAGCATGGTCAGTATAATATTTTTTGTCGACGGGTAACGCTAAAGTAGAATGTATTTGTCATCACACCGCCACTGTTTCCTAACTAGGGAATATCACATCTAACAGAGCTGAGCTAGAGATTGAGTAGCAGCGCTTTCTGGTAAACCTTAACCTTATAAACTGCGGTTTCCAAACCGCCTGATAAGTGTGGTATTTTTGGAGATTCATTTGTGCAGATGCTTTTTGGATTACGTAGTGTGTCATGCTCTATAATATTTCCAGGTCCACGCAGACGGAGCTAACGTGAACAATACCCGCGATCACCGCTGGGCGATCCACGAGCACGCCCCAGGCGCGGACTACTACAACTGGACGGGGCGCTGCCTGAGCGCGGGCCGGGTGTTCCAGCCGCATGCGCTCGACATCGACACTAGGCACCCGGAGTCATACTGCCGACCTGGCCTTGAGGGGCTCTGCAGGCTTGGCGACTTTACCACCAGGTATTAACACTAAGACTGTATACAATTGGCTATTAATGAGGTACTGATAATATATTTTTCGAAATTAACTTGATCCCTTTCATCGCTTTTCAATAATTTTGAGCACGTTGATCACTAATTACAGACACGGCATGTTGCAAGTGGCTGGCAAGAAGGTGGACTCAGCGCGGCTGACGCGGCGGCTCTTCACTGACACGGTCATATCTCTGGCAGGGAAGCACTCCATCATGAGGAAGTCACTGCTCATCTATGATGACCACGGACCCGTCGCCCGAGGGGAGCGCATGGCTTGTTCCATGTGAGTACATTTTATTTTAATTTTATTATTTTTAAATACTAAACTAAGTTTTCATTCAAAATTGATGATAAACATTGTTGATTTTTTGATTGAGCAAGGAATATTATATAGTTAAGATTGCTATGAAGTTTTTTATAGGCGCTCACCATAACTATTCTCCTTTTTGAGAATCTAAACTACAGTTCCGTAATGACCATTTAAATATTTTTTAATTTATTAACCTTTACATTTTTTGGTTTATGGAATTATTTTTACAGTTACATAAGATTGAAATAAATGCACGAAATGCCAAACGAGCAGTCAAATAACCTAAGGCCTTAGTACCAGTTTGTTTACGTTTAAAGTATTCGAAACGAGTACGCTTTCGGCACTCTCCTACCTTTTGGCCTCTGATGGTAAGCAATCGGTACCGGCCAAGAACACCCGCAACATCAAATGAGTTACAAGCGCGTTACGGGCCCATTCTTTGGGAGTTATGATTGTTTTTGACATATTTCTATTATTATCCTCAGTGTGAACGGGCTCCACCGGCGTAAGGCAGTAGTACGGGACTGGTTCGGTAACGGGGAGCCGGCACCATTGAAGGGCCGCATCGAGATGACGCAGCAGTCGGAGTACGACATCACCAACGTCATGGTCACGCTCGACGGACTCGTCGACGTCACAGACTACAAGATACACGTGGTTAGTATTGTATGCTGTTCGATATAACTTTATAAGACAATAAACTGGATATAAGTAATGACTAGTTATTGGCTTATTTTTGAACTATAGTCAGGAACTGTTACATAAATTTGTTGCAAAGCTGTTATGATGATCTCTTGTTCACCATATCACGCTGGTCAGCATAGAAACAAAACTTAGTCTATCATTTTTAAACAGAATAGAGAGATAGTTGTAGCCAGAAAAATGGGCAAGTCTGAATTAATCTATCGTTAAGTCTAACGACATGGTGCTATCTGCAGGTGCCAGTAGAGCGCGACCTGGAGTTCCCCTGCGAGAAGACCACGCTGTACGACACCTTCAACCCGTTCCACATCAACAAGACCCTCAGCCCACCGCCCACTAAAGGTATTGTGTCAACTGGAGACATTTTACCACACTGTCTCAGTATAGATATCTGCAGATTTGCTTACTACAGAGTAGAGAGTCTTTAGACATAGATAGAAGTCGTTTAACAATAAAGCAGGGCAAGATCAGGCCTGATAAACGTACATTATTGTATTTCAATATAAATATTGTCATTACTAATCATCAACAGCCTATAAATGCCCACTGCTGAGCAAAGCCTCTTCTCTCACGGAGAAGGTTAGAGCGTTAATCACCACGCTTGCTCAATGCGGGTTGGCGATTACAAACTTATAATTAGAAATTATAAGTCCAGGTTTCCTCACGATGTTTTTCCTTCACCGTTTGTCAGTGGTGTCTTGATAATCTTAGAAAGTACATATAGCTCGGAAAAAGTCACATTGGTACTTGCCGTTGGTAGGTTTCGAACCCGCACCCTCATGCATGAGAAGTGGGCGTCTTAAACCTCCGGGCCACCACGACATCAAGGTTATTTGTTGATTCAGGTACAGCGGACCAGTACGAGCTCGGTGACCTGGGCGCCAAGTACGGGATGGTGGAGTCCCAGTCACTGACCACATTCTTCAACGAGACACAACTGTCTCTGTTCGGGCCCTATAGTGTGCTCGGAAGATCCGTTGTGCTACATAAGAAGGTAACAAACTGAGCAGTTCTTGGAGAAAATATAATTATGTTTAGACGTAATTTCAGTGGTAATGTAAGCATTACTTTGCTCTTAAAGTAATATACTATACAGGAGACTTTTTCAAATTCTCAGATAGGTAGAATATAATGTATTGGAGTTACTATACAGTTTTTATTCTATTTTACAGAAACACCGTCGCTGGGCATGTTCTTCTATTGAGCGTGGATACAGTCCATCCGAGGCCCGGGAGTTGCGCGCCATCGCATCGTTCCACCACCCGGGGGGGTTCGCCACCGGGTACATTCGCTTCACACAGCTTATACACAACGACGGCAGTGCCAGCGACACTGTTATTGAAGTCAAATTGAGGCATCCTGGTGTCCGGGATACCAATGTGGTAAGGATATATTGACCATGAAGTATCCTTCTCGTTACTCTACTTAAGAATCTACACTTTGGACTGATAAGCTTCACTGATGTACGATGGCAGACATTATACTATTTTAACATTTCAAAATGTCTGTGTAAGAATTAATTGAAATATAAATATTATTGGCTTCATGCACTTCACTCTGTAAGACTGTGCACCATCAAAGATTTCAAGAACACCTAAATCGTACCTAAATTCGTAAAATTCTTCTCTAAGAATGCCAGCGGTTATAAGTGAATCTATATATCTGCTTATTGTTTGACTGTGATGTGATTGGTTGCAGACTCTGAACCACAACTGGGCGATCTTTGTGAACCCTGTAGGCGTGGACGCGGCAGTGAAGGTGACCAACACGCGTTGCGTCGCTGGAGGGTACCGGTGGAACCCTTACTTCACACAGTTGGCGGACCCACTCAATGTAAGTATAACCTGACACATCAGGTATTTTTATAAAGAAGTGGAGAAGCAACAATTATGAACCTGATAATACTAATAATGTATTTGTTGTGAACAGCACGACCTGTACAACCAGGAGTGCGGGCCGGACAACCCACTGCGGTGTGACGTCGGAGACCTCACCGCGAGACTGGGCACCATCAGTAAGTCTCATCATTTTAGAGTTCAGCTTTCAGCATGACATTCTGATTTTTGTAAAACTACCTACTTCAATAGTGTATTTTAAATAATGTCTGAGGCTATTTAATCGTTTGGTGTTACATTGTTCTCGCACAATCAAACCAATAAAACTGTGTAACTGAGGAATTATATTGTGAAACTAATTGGAAAAGAGTATAACCTATGGAGTTTCTTGCTCATTCTTCTCCATAGGAATCTACATCTTAGAATGAGCAAATAGCTTCACTTTTAAATTTCTATTGTTACTTTTAAATGATTTTTGACTTTGGGTGAAACCTCGAAAAACAATATATACACATTGACCATATATCTTAAGCCTCCAAAGTCCAAATCGTCTCCTCTTCTTCCAGACGTAGGCAGCAAGCGTCAGATGTTCATGGACAGTAACTTCCCGCTGGAAGGCACAGTCAGTGCGGTGGGACGGTCCATCGTCATCTTCGGGCCGGAGAGGAGCTCGGAGCGGTTCGCGTGCGCCAACATCGAGCCAGACAAGGACATCATCAAGTACGTGAACATCATGAAGCCGCCCAGATTCGTACTGTGAGTATATTAACTGTTAAGTATGTACAAGTTATATTTTGTTTGTACTTTACAAAAGTAATGTTATCAGTCGCGTAGGTAATAGGCGTCTTTAACAACCAGGAGTGACCAGGACCTAAGACATTTTGGACCACACTAATATTTAGATTTTAGAATTGAACCCGTGGTACATTGTATAGCAGAGTCTAAACAATCATGTAATCCTTCTAAGTTTATTTTCGAAATTATTACAAGATAACATAACACGCTTTTTATCCCCAAAGGGGTAGGCAGAAGTGTACATAATATGTAATATAATTAGGTTTCTAAAACAAAATCCCTTAAAAAAAACAAAATTTATTCATTAAGACAGAGTTTTATATTTAAACAAAAATTATAACCTCTTAAAACTAATTTACACGGAATTTAACTTAGTCTAGGTACAAAATCAAAACACCAAGCAAAATCACAATAATAGAAAAGTATGTACTCACAAGACTTATAGCACTCTTACTAATACAAAAACACTCACAAATCGCGCCGACTGCTACCGACCTCCACGAGAGCTGACGAGCAAATGACCCCTACCAGCGTCTGCGCCGCCTTTTATAGGCTATGTTAGATATTATTGTTGGGGTTCCTAAATCGGCCTATCCTGAAGAGGCGTCGTCCTCGGCGCCATCTTCGTGACGCTCGTTTATCACCAGAGCCGGTCCTGCTGCTGAAGAGGCACCACCTGGTCCGGCTGTCTCCTCGCCCGGTCTGAGGGAGACTGAGGATGGACCTGCACCTGAATCATACTCTTCGTTATCTGAAACATAAGGCACTGCTATTTCAGAGTGCTAATGCAAATTTCAAAGTCTAATACGTGAGAGCTCTCATTAATGTACTTCCGTAATCTTCATATAAGTACGTAGCGGCCCTCCAACAATGTGGGCAGCATGCAGCACCTGTGAACAGATCAGACAGAAGGCGTCCCCTCTGCCTAAGGTTGACGGAGGCATCTCTGAATCGCACGTCAACGCAATAGTTCTTATAGACCGATACCTCTCACTATAGGCACGTCTATACCCAGACGGAGGCATCACTGAATCGCACGTCTGTTACACATAACCAATGCGTGGACGGAGGCATCTCTGAATCGCACGTCCAACATACATAAACCATGCGTGGACGGAGGCATCTCTGAATCGCACGTCCAACATACATAAACCATGCGTGGACGGAGGCATCACTGAATCGCACGTCCAGCATACATAACCAGCATATGGACAGAGGCATCCCTGAATCGCATGTCCAAAATACATAAAACACTTACCCTCGAAGAAGGCCTCGCAAGACTCAGGACACCATTCTCCATTCCAGGGTATCATATACTCAGCAGCTGCTTGCGTAGTCTTGCCATAGGAGCCGCTGAGCAGTTTCAACTGATATCGACCACTAGGTAACACTTTGATCACCCGGTAAGGTCCGCGCATACCTGGATCCAGTTTTCCTGTCGACTGGGAATACTTTATTACGAACACAAAATCATTAACATTAAAGGTTCGCGGTGTCCGCCGTTGCTGGTTAACGTAGTCATCTTGTTGGCTTTGATTTCGTGCCAACAGTTCTTGAGCTCTAGCTCTACTCAATTCCCGCCGGCCTTCCAGATTTTGAGACATCTCGATTGCCACGTCGCGGATTAGTGTCCTGACGACCGGTGTGGTGGCGTCGATACCCACTAGTAGTCTCAAAGCCGAAGTTTGCGTGGTCTTATGTTTCGTGATGTTCAGAATGAGTTGAAGCCTCCAGAGTTGTTCGGCCCACTTAGTACCCTTATGGTTCGTCTCAATTCGAATCATGTTTAAGACGGTTCTGACGTACCTTTCTACTTGCCCATTGGCATTGTGCATTTCAGGAGTTATAAAATGGATCTCGCAGCCCAGCTCAGTTAAAAGCGTGGAAAATTCGGACGATTCAAACATTCGCCCGCGATCGGCCACTAAGAGTTTAGGGGCGCCAAAGAGCGAAATCGCATTAGTAAATGTGCGTTTGAGTTCACTTACATCCTGTTTATAAATTGGGTATAACAAACAAAATTTTGTAAAAGAGTCTACAATAAGTAATACAAACTTATAACCATTGGACTCAGGCAATGGGCCTAAAGCATCTATATGCAAAGTTTCAAAAGGTACACTAGGTTTTTCCCAAGAGGTAATCGGTTGGTGAGGGGCTCTAGGGACACGTTTACTTGAAATGCATACAAGACAGTGTTTTATATACTTGGTTACAAACTGGCGAAGTCCGGGAAACCAAAAATGTTTAAGAATTAAATCTAGAGTTTTTTCCGCGTATATGTGGTCATGTTCATCGTGAAATATTCTTAGCAAACTTAACCGGTGACCTTTAGGAATGAAACAAAGAAGCCTGGCCTCCTCACCTACCGGTGTGTATCGATAATAAAGTAGCCCATTCTGGCAGACATATCTGTGAGAATCTAACTCTCCGTCCTGCAATTTTTGCAGAAGACTTTGGGTTTCGTCGTCTGCGGACTGAGCGATCTGTGCCCAATTACGTGGCCTCGTAATTTGATGTACAACGGCAGTGACAGGGTTCCGGCTTAAGTAGTCCGCATGTGTCATCATTGTGCCCTTTCTATAATCAATGGTGAAATTGAAGTCTTGTAAATAAATCCACCATCTCGCCACGCGCGGAAGCAGGTCCCTCTTTTTCTCAGTAGCCTTGAGAGCATTGCAATCTGTGACAATTTTGAAGTTTAAGCCGACTAAATAGTGGCGGAAGTTTTGCAATGCCCTCACGACCGCCAGGGTTTCCAGCTCATAAGAGTGGTACCTACTCTCGGCGCCGTGTGTGGCCTTACTAAAGTAGGCGACTACATGCTTCGTACCGTCAGCCTTCTTCTGCATAAGCACCGCACCATAACCAATGCTACTGGCATCAGTATGCACCTCTGTAGGCAAAGACGGATCAAAGACAGCCAGCACTGGCGCACTAGTTAGGCGATTTATTATTTCCTGCCTCGCTTTATGCTGTTCTGGACCCCAAATAAATTTTACGTCCTTTTTCATTAAGCGTGCTATGCAGGCGGTCTTTGACGCATAGTCTTGGATGTATCTCCTAAAATATCCAGCTAAGCCCAGAAATTGTCGTATTTGTTTGACATTAGTGGGTATTGGAGAATCAACCAACGCTTGAACTTTACGAGGGCTCGGCCTAACCTGACCCTGACTCACTAAACGCCCCAAATACTCAACCTCTGTTGACAAGAACGAGCACTTCTTTATATTTACTGAAAAACCTGCCCCTGTTAGGGTTTTTAATACTCTTTCTAACAAACAGATACCCTCGTCGATACTATTACTCATACAGAGAACATCATCAACGTAAACTAGTACATTACCGGCCTCAATATGATCGCGAAGGGTTTCGTTAATAATTCTCTGGTATACTATAGGCGAGTTGGACAACCCATAAGGCATACGAAGGAATTCTAAATGAGCTTCTGGTGTAACGAAAGCAGTTTTATGAATTGAACTTTCTTCGATGGCTATCTGATGAAAGCCGGTCGCCATATCGAGACTGGTAAAGTATTTAAAATTACCCAATCTATCTATATGATCGTCTATTAAAGGTAATGGGTATCGATCTCTAACCGTCAGTCGATTAAGCGCCCTATAGTCGACACACATTCTGTCGCTACCGTCCTTCTTCTTAACTAATATTATGGGGCTGGCATACTCCGAATTTGATTCGCGGACAATGCCCTTATCTTTTAAATCGCGTACTATTTCGCGGACTTTGAGTTTTTCAGAGTATGACAACTTGTATGGTCGGTAAGCGACAGGCGTATCATCCGTAACCTTAATGGACATTTTGCCAGTAGTAACGGTAGTTGACGCGGTACCCGAAATAAAGAAATTTGAAAACTGTTTTATTAACTTTACAAGTTGATCTAATTCGGTACCCTGAAGGGGTGTGTTAATACACAGTGTTTCATCAGTGGATACAGCATGAATGACCTTTTCATCGGCTCGAGTCAGGTATTGTTTGTCCTTAGTCCGAACGTACATGATACCCTCGCGGTTGAGGATATCAGTTCCTACGATGATAGGGGTAGTTATACACGATCCCGGTACTACGACAAAGTCAGCCTCTATCGAAATTTCATCGAACTCGATTGTCAACGTGACATACGTGTCGGCCACGATAACGGTGTCACTGATTCCTCTCAAAACACATTGCCTAGGTTTTCTTTCGCAAGCAAAATGCTTCAATGCTTCTGAAGATACTAAGGAAATATTCAAGGCACCGCTGTCAATAAGTACATCTACAGGGATGCCCTGAACCACTGCAGTTTTGAGATCACTATTTTGAGAAGAACTAGCCACGGGCGTACTACACAAATTTATATCCCGTTTATTACGAGAGCCTGACCTATCCTTAACAAAGCAAACGTCTTCATGGTGTCCTGATTTTTTACAAAAATTGCAGACGGTTTTATTCATGTTGCCCGTCGTCGCGCTTGACGTTTGCTCAGTTTTGGGTTTTTTGGGACAGTTATGCGACTTATGTCCTTGTTGACCGCAGGTGAAACATTTTAAATGAGTCGGACGATTGCTGGGAGGTGGTTTAGTTGAGGAAATTTTATTATCAACTTTATTGCGGGTAGGTTTCGAATAAATGGATAAAAATGTTACTAGATCATGAATATGTAGGTTGGCGTTGGCGGCTGCGGCCTTAACCAGCGGGTCCGTAATACCCCTTATCACTATTAATGTCTTCAGTTCGTCAGTTAGTCCTTTTACTATTTTAAGACGTAGCAACGTTCTCCTAGCATATTCGGCATAAGTACTAAATTTATCAGACGTGGTATGCATTGCGTCATAAAGGATGTTCGCATAATCTAGTTTTCGCGAGCACAATGGCTTGAATTCCCTTACGAAATTGCTCCATGTTCGGTCGCTAGTTACCCACTCATTTAACCAAATACGCGCATCCCCCTTAAGACACATCGACACGCGTGACAAACACTCAGAGTCTCCCCAATTATTCGATAATTTAGCCCGGTCAACTTCATCACACCACGCTTCTATATCGTGTATAGATGGGTCGAAGTTGGACACGAAGTACTTTTGCGTCCGGTCTGAATTTACCGATTTTATCGCGTCTACTAGCAATTGCACGGAAGAAGTCGTCACTGATTGGTTATGACTATGCATGTCAAGACTATTCGTATCGGTTAATAAACTATCGGGGGCGGGAACATTTGACGCGGCGATGGAACTAGTCAACAATGTTTCAGACACGTTTTGTCTCGCCTGAATGGCCTCATTACTCAATTCGTTTAAAGACGGAGTGTGGGACCTATCCGACAAAACGTCGGAATGTTTATTTTCGAGTGTATTCAAACGCGATAAAATTGAATCTAACGTTTGTTGCAACGCCGAATTATGGTCGGAAGTACGACGATTTGAACGTGAGCGCGTTTTACTTCTCGAGCGAGTTTTCGCGCGCGAATCTGATTTATCTCGCGACCTACGTTCCCTGTCACGTCGACGCGATTTGTTGCGAGATTTATGTTGTCTATCAGCCATGATTAGGGCACAAAAATAAAGTTTAACTGTTACTTGGTGTTTTTATTCTTATACCCGACACAGAACAATTATTCAAATCAAAACAGTGGGCGTTTGTTTAAAGATCCCACTTCTGAAATTAGGTTTCTAAAACAAAATCCCTTAAAAAAAAACAAAATTTATTCATTAAGACAGAGTTTTATATTTAAACAAAAATTATAACCTCTTAAAACTAATTTACACGGAATTTAACTTAGTCTAGGTACAAAATCAAAACACCAAGCAAAATCACAATAATAGAAAAGTATGTACTCACAAGACTTATAGCACTCTTACTAATACAAAAACACTCACAAATCGCGCCGACTGCTACCGACCTCCACGAGAGCTGACGAGCAAATGACCCCTACCAGCGTCTGCGCCGCCTTTTATAGGCTATGTTAGATATTATTGTTGGGGTTCCTAAATATATATTATATTATGCCACTGTATAATGTAACACCTATTCAGTATTTATGTTATGAGTCCCTCGGAATCGTCTCCCTAGGAATCGAACCCGAAACCCCTTGCTCGGAAGTCGCACTTGCTACTACTCGGCCAACGAGGCAGTCTTACAAGTATTACTAGTCAAGCAGTTTAATAAGATGCTAAAGGCACTCAACTCTATTATGAATGAGGGTTGACTAGTGTTGTGTTTGCCTTCAGTGACGGTCACTTTAGAAGGATCGGTGTGTGTGTTGCGCAGTGGAATGTTCCTGGAGGACATGCGGCGAGTGATGGGCGTGCCGGAGTGGATGATGTCGCTGGACGCGCGGCGCACGCGCACGCTGCACGGCGGCTCCTGCATACAGCTGCTGCTGCACTTCACTGGGCCGCATGCCAACAGACTCGAACTGGATTTCACCAAGTTAGTACCGAGTGCCTGCTTCACGTCCATAGACATGGAAACCAGTATTTGTCTGATTGAATACTTGACGATGTCCAGCTGTTTCTCTGATCAATAGAATCAAAATCAAAATCTAATATTAACAACATTTTTTAACCAACTGTACGACGAAAGTTTATTTAAGCTTTAAATTACATTGCTAAATTCAAATTGTATAATTGAATACCATTTTTTGTTATCAAGACACCTCAAAATATGGATCTTAGTCTGCATTCTATGGAAAAAATTAAAAAAGAATAAATAAAAATATATTTCATTAATTACGGATATCGTATGAACACAAAACAAAATTATCAGAATAACTTTTTGAGCAAGTGTTTGCTTGTGGTAGGAAATAAGCTGAACAGAGATTTCTTCGAAAGCATAACGTTGCTTTAGACAGTCAGTTAATCTATTCTTATACTTATAATATTATCAAGCTGAAGAGTTTGTTTTATTGTTTGAACGCGGTAATCTCCGAAACTATTGGTCCGATTTGAAATATGATTTCTGTTTTGTATAGCCCATTTATAGAGGAAGGCTATTGGCTATAAAATATCACGCTACGATTAATAGGCGCAGCGCGGCTCAGCGCGAGCAGAGCGAGTGAAACCGCGCAGAAGTAGTTAGTGAGTTAATAAGTGCGATGTTAATCCTGATGATATTTGCAGATTACTGGCATCAGGTCGACTGGACTCGCCCACTATCTTCATCCCCGGCTACGTGAACACCAAGAGGAAGAAGACCATCTCCTACAGACAGTGCGGCACCACAGACCCTAATGATAGGAAAAGTAAGTAATCACTTTAATCTCATACTAGTGGCGCCAGGGCGCGCTTGATTGTCATTTCTTGACAATTTCTTTCTTCTTTCAACCAAAACCTTGTCTTACTGTCCTTACAGTAACGAATACAACAAAAAGAAAGACTTATCCCATTCAGTCCAGCAGTTCGGTAGTTACGCGCGTACATACACTTAAGTTATGACGACGATTTTAAACATTGTGGATATCATGAGTCTTGTAATTGTATCTGTATATCTTTTGCTTATTGCTTTCTTTTAAAGAGATAAGGATCTTATGACATAATCATTTTTCTCATCATCATCATCATCATCAACAGCCTATAAGTGCCCACTGCTGAGTAAACCCTCTCCTCACGCGAACGAAGTTTGAGCATGGATTACCACGCTTGCCCACTGCGGGTTATTATAATTTTTCTCACAAAAAATTAATCAAAATACATTTTAATTTGAACCCCCACACAAAGTCACAGCGTACACCCGTCTGGCTCTGATCGGATTTAATTTGAAAATGCTTTCAGCATACAGCAGACATGTACCAGATACCACCCTCGCTCTGTGCAATACATAATGTACCTGAAGTTTTCACATAGGTACTGTTTACCTGCTGTACTGTTACGGGATGAAATATCTATTACGACATTTTTGCAATTTGCCGGGTCTACTGTACTAGTTATCAGATTAAACATAATAATGCCAAAGCTTTAATCCTCTAACTAGAAGGTACCTTTATGTGCTCCAGATAATATATTGTGACGGAAAAAGTAAGATATATTTAGACGGAAACTGAATGATTAACGAAGCATAGATAGACCCTGATTGTCCCTCCCACTGATTGATTTATATGCCCTCCGAATAAAACGTCGGGGGACAGAGTCATAGTAGGTCAAGGTCACGAAGGGTCATATAGAGAAGTAGAGGACGACAAGTTATTGTTGGCATGCTCATCGATCCAAACATTATTATTTTAGGGAAACAATGAATTAATTAAATGACATTACGTCACGTCTTCTAATTGCCGAAGCGGTACAAGATGGGGTAAAAATCGAATAATATAGAGAATTAACAAACAAACGTACAATTTGAGACTTCATGTTATCTAAGATGTATAAAAAAAAACCGAAAAGATCCAATATTAATTTGATGTGCACGACTCTAACAATAAATAATTGTGGATGTCCAGTAGCAGACAGGAACGGACTAATGATAAATAATGAATGTACGCCGACCATAATACATGTATGTACTGGCGCGGTGGGTTGTGCTCAGCAATTTGTTTTCAAGTTCTATGATAAGTACTCGTCACGCGACGAGGCGCGGGTTTTATCAAATTGTACAGAACTGTAGAGTAATTAATTTAAACACATAAACTATTCACGTGGTATTGCCAAGTGTTTTATTGAGCTGACGGTTACACGTTACGAAGGGAAGTTTACAGTGTCGATAGCAGATTAGGTTTTATTTATATTTGTTGCGTTTTTAAAGTGACACACACTCAATTTGTATAAATATAGCAATCTCCAGGAATTAAATACGGTTGTCGTAGATAATACGGTTGCTGACTAGGAAAAGGATGTACATTTTTTCAAGTTTTGTACATTTTGGTCAGTAGTTAAGTAATAAACGTAAAATTATGTTCATATTCATTTCATCGGACTGCTTCTGAACAGTCTGACGTACCACGGTCCTGTTCACGAACTTGGTTACGTCTCGGAAGATTGTCTAAGGTCAGGGTTACATAGGATTGACGTTTCCGAATCAATTGTTTGCAAAACTTTATTCCAACACTTTAGTGTCAGGAAATTCTCAAATTGACCAGCTGACCACACCCAGCTTCCTTTCGCCCTGCAACATTGTAACTACACTGTCCACTACAGACATATGCAGTTGTGTGCAGTGCTTTGTGTGATGTGGCACCACCGCGGGACGCATGCGCGGCGCCCTCCCTGGATCAATAACCTTAGGTATTCTGTTTGTCTAGCACATAGCTTTGTTTGTAGTGACGGATTCATCACGTGGGCCCCGTAGCTTATTCTATTGAGACATTAAAAGGCTTTCTATCTTAACCCAGGAAGTACATATTACGTCAACAACCTATAGTAGCCACTACTGAGCAAAGGCCATTTCTAACACGGAGAAGATGCAGGCATTAATCACCACGCTTGATCAACGCGGATTGGCGATTTCAAACTTATAATTTGAAATTATAATCCCTGGTTTCTTAATCTTAGGAAGAAGGCACACATTATATTATAATTAGGATAAAGGAGAAGCCGGGCCTCTGGACTATACCGAGATGAAAGTACACTGCTTCACTTCAGTGCCAGTTCGATTGGATCCTTCTTTCTCGGATACCTTGTAAGCACTTCAATGAGGAGATAATTGAGACAAGTTTGATTACGCGAGGTCTCTCCCCTTTAGCGTGGGGCCCGTAGCGAATGCTACCCTTGCTCCTTGGTTAGTCCAGCACTGTCTGTCTGGCTTAGTACCTATGTGCCTATGTAGTGGAAGCTCGGGGCTCGGGGCCGGCCGGTCGATGCAGCGACTGCAGCGTGCCACGGGATATTTCAAACGGATTCATCGAGACCATTGTTTTGATGAATAAAGTTATTGTTTAGAGAACAAATCAATGTTTCCAATGTTTATGATAATGTGGGTAGAGGTATATTTATGTGGTGTAGGGGGCTGTACACGTTTTGATTTGATTAATACGTCCAGAGTCTGCTGCTAACATTCTTCAAATCTTTCTAATTAGTGTTAGATATTAAAAAATGC